TAATAACTACTGGTGTATATGCAAGTAGGATATGGACAGCTGCAATTGCAGCAACATTATTATTCCTGAGTTCACGCTCATTATCTTTTGTTGAAAATTTACAAAAATGGTTTTATCCTTTTGGATGGGGGTACGACTATATTATTATAGTTTATTTTAATTTAAATTACTTATATATATTGTTATTTACTATATAATATATATTAATTTATAGAGTGCCACTTCTAATGGTGACATTAATATGCGTCGCTGTTAGATTAAATCCGTCTGATCTTGATTTTAAAAATCCAAATTTTCAATTAGGCAGAACTCAAGCCGCTATATCTTCATTTATATTAATATTTTGCTTTATAGGTATGTTATAAGAAATATACATATATGTTTTATATTTTTAATGAAAAATTTAAAAGTATTTATTTGTCAAATTACTATAGTCAAATTATAATATTACATAATTGTGTGTTGTAAATAGTCACATAATTTAAAATCTTATGTGATAAACATCTAGGTGACCGGACATATATATAGTATATACTATTTCTGGATACTTACACAAAATATTTATTATTAATCTCAAATGCTTTTTTTATTACAATATTATGATTGCATTTAAAGATTACAATTAAATTACAATATTATATTTTAAAAAACATTTGAAATTAATAATAATTTAAATAAATATAAAGTTTTGTGTAAATGTGTGTATATCTGGACATAGGTATGTATATGTCCGGTTAACTGGGACGTTTACTTTATATAAATTTTGTAATAATCATTTTTCTGCACACATAGTGACATTAGGTTGTTTGATCTTACAACAAAGATACCAAAGAAGGCACAATACGATGTCATATGGGCATCTAAGGAACAATGTACAAAATTCTACAACCGAAAATAATGAAAGACCCATAATAGATGTGGAAGACTTAGTGTCTCCATTAATTAATTCAACATCTATGTAAGTTAACCCTAAGCTAACTCTAAGTAAGGAGGTACGTAACTATAAAGAAATTTATAAATTAATGTTGATATAACAACTTTTAGAATTAACTGTGAATTTCAAAATGGTTGTTCGAATGAAGCGTGCAGAGCTAATGAAGAGGGAGATCGCTGTGAGGAAGAAAATGAAACAAATGTAGATGATGATCCTCAGATTTTGCGACATGCAGTTTTTCTAATTCTGCTGTTATGTTCTATGTTTATAGTACGTAAATTATTATTTTCTTTACTTGGATATTATCAAGTTGTAAAACTAATTTTGATATATTATAGGGCTTATCAATATCTGTGGGAACATTAATAATGGAACAGTTAACTGGCATTTATGCCGAGCTTGCATTCTTAGATGTGACTTTGAACTTTGGACAATCATTAATAGCGTTCGCAATTTTTGGATTAGATCCTAGTTTGGGTAAATTAGGATGTTGGTTCCGAAAAATGTGCAGAAAATGGCAATCTGGTACAGTACTTTTATGATATATATATATTTCACATATTATTGATTGATTTTACATATACGTTCAATAAGACTTTGTAATTTTGATATACATTCAATAATACTTTGTAATTTTATAGGAAAAGAGTTACAACTTCCTTGTGAGGAAGCTCTCAGTTCAGAAGTAAAAGAGATTCGAGAACAATTTAGTCGATGTCATTTAGATGCCTGTCGAGCACGCATATCTATGTGTCGTAGGCGATTATTGAAGGTATACAGAGGAGTCTTTTCGGGAACAGATTTAGTCAACTGGTTGCTCGAAGTTGGCATTGTTGATAACCGAGAAGATGCTGTGCGTTATGGTCGCTGTTTGTTGGAGAGTAGGGTTCTGCAACATGTTGATGGTACACACCATTTCTATGACCAGAATCTTCTGTATACGTTTAACGCATAGTTCAATTTTAATCGAATGTCTGATTAAATTTTTCCGATTCCATTCATATTTTAAATAATGAATATTTAAATGGAAAAACAAGAAAGATTGTAATGATAATTTATAGAATATAATCAAATCTTTGTGTTCCTTATTCATTTGGTTTGTGCAATCTATTCATTCTTGATTTTCAAATTCACTCGTTTTTTTAATCAATGTACTTCCTCGTTTGATTTAGTTTATTTTTAGTTTATTTTCTTGATTTTATTGTTTTGATTTTATTATTTATTTTTTTGTGTTTGTTTTCTTCTTTATTTTTATTTTCAGATCAGGCATCCTTTTTGATGCCTTTTCTTTATATGAATTTGTATTTGATTTAGAAAGAGAAAGAAAAGGAGAAGACTCTGGTAGCGAATCTAACTGTATTCTCTTTTTTTTTATAATCAGTAACTCTAATTCGCTTGATATATTTACATTTTCTCGAGACGTCATCATTCTATCTGCTACATCATACATTATAAGCAGTTTGATTTAAATTTAAGATAGAGATTTCCATAATATTTTAATATATGTAGAATGGAAATTTATAAAATCAAGTCCATGTGTATCTGTAACTTCCTTTTTCTTATTGAATTTTTTTTTAACAAATTGCATAACTTTTGTTTATGAATTGTCCATAATTTTACTGTAATATTTGTAGCGCTCCTACTGTCTATGATAACATTATTTAATTTTGATACCATTATATCTATAGCTACATTTTTTTGAAATTTTTTTCAATCTTTTTCTTCTCATCTTTCTTCCAGTTTTTCTTTTCACTTTCACATTGTTAGTTTTTTACTCGATCTTGTTTTATTTTCAACTTATACTATTACACATCACAGCATGATTCTATTTTATCTTATTATCTTAACAAAATAATATTAATTGTACAAAAATACAAAAATTAATATTTATTGAAATAGAGACTATTTATAGCATTGGTTAATGCTTTAGCCGTATTGTAATCATGTTTTTTCGGTGAAAGATTTGATTATATTTATTTATGTTCTAAATGTAATTTATAATTTTTCAAAAGTGAGCATACAAATTAATTAACCAGTTAATTAAGTTTTAATTATTATATAGTTTTATGTTAGTATGATTTATGTTAGTATATTTGTGATGCCACGTTTATATAATGATGATTACATTAATAGAAAATATTCTTTGATTTACTTTTGTGAGAAATATTTTACGATGAAAATAGCATTTTGAATATTTACATTAATAAAACGCGATAAATTTACATGTTGACATATTCCTATTATTTTTATTGAAGAGCAGCATCAGTATTACAGATAAAGTTTACTATTTTACTGTGACTGTTTAAAATGAGTAAAGGCTGTGTTTAGTACGACATACTGCATCCTCATTACATAGTTTAACAATTGAAGCATTGTTTTAATATTAAAAAAAGCTATTTTTATAAAGATCTTAATTATTTATTATACATTTAATTAAGCATGTAATATAAGTAGAGTCCAACCGAAACTTTTGCCGAAACTGAATCGAAATACTTGGTTACATATCAATTTCAACTGAAACTGAAACCAAAAAATTAAAAAATAGGAATCTCATAAAAGCCATATGTATAGACATGCTCATATATCATACGCTTTTTTTTCTATGATAAATATCATAATTTATTGAAACAATAAAATTTCGGCCAAAATCGAAAATCGAAATTTCGGTTGTGTCAATTTTGGCCAAAGAATATAAGTACTTCTTCTTCGGCTGCGTTTGGAAACGTCGCTCGGATGCCTCCGATGCCTTGGATTCATCATCTGTCCTTGTTTAATATCTGCGCAGCCTTCATAAATAATAATAACATAATAACGTTTCTGAACGCAGCCTTCATAAACATCATAATTTAATTATTGAAACAATTACAATTATAATATAAATTAACAGATAGTGAAGAGCCAACCGCAGGACTTGTTGCGCAACTTAATTTATATATTCAAATTATATAAAGTTGTTATTCAAAGCTGATCTCACAAATTCAAACTCTTGACATGTTTCGGCTACTTGTTCGAGCCCTTATCAGAAATGCAATAAATCTAGTTGCATATATGACTTCATTTTTTCAAAGTAGACTGTTTTTTGATGAATTATGTTTTTAGAATAATTATAGCTGTTCATGACGGTTGGAAGACCGTGTGGAGAATCTGGTTAAGCTGACAAAGTCAATGACATAGTCAATGAAAACAATAATTATACATATTAAAATTAATGTTTATGAAGAAGAGCTATATGGTTTCAGTCGAAACTGGCACGTAATGAGTGTTCGTTTTCAGTTTCGATAAAAGTTCTGGACTCTAGATATAAGTATAATAGAAATAATGAACGAACAATAAAGAAACCAAAGAAATGATATAGGAAATATTTAAATCTAATCTTGACAATATTATTTATATCGAGTTCTTTGTAAGAATTGTAAAGGAATTGAAATGTCCTAAAGATTTATTCTGAATTTATATCATATGATTTTATATTTTTTTTATATTGAATTCATTATTTTACTTATTAAAATAAATTATTATAAATGCTATGTAAATCACAAATAATAAATACACGACAATATTAAAAGTGCAATTTCTTATTAATGTATAAAATGATCACCTTTTTTCTGGAGAAGTATTTTATACGTAAAATATATGTAAAATATTGATCGTCTAAAAATTCGCGAATTAAAAATATCATAGCAAGAGATTCCAAGAAACTAATATTTTTTTAAGTAGATTTAAGTTATTTTGGAAACGATTCTAAATTATTAGAAAAGTAAGATTTATCTGAAAATGAACTGATAATTTTAATACAATGTGTTATACTTAACTGTAACACATTCATTTTTAATTTGTCATTTTTCAATACAATTTTATTTTACTAATATAATTTTAAAAAGATTTTATTTCTGCTTCTCACTCTAATCCATATAATTTTTGTATATCTCTAAAAATCTACCCTCAATTTGAAAAAATTTATTTTACAGTGAAATATATGAAATATATACATAATAAACTTTTGTTTATATATATATATATATATATATATATATCAAATATATTTTAAATGTAAAACATATTTTAGTCTACATACAAATTCTTTGATTTTTATAAACTTATATACACAAATCATCATCAGGATCTTCTTCATCTATATCGTCTACATCTTCAGGTTGATAAAATATCTTTGATGTATTCGTTGCATTCAAAGTATAAGGTAAAGGTGTCTTGTTTCTTTGCTCCATTTCCTGAGCACTCATTTCTATCCTAAATGACGTTTCAATCCTTACAGGTTCTGTTTCTGTTTTGCAAACGCTTGGCACTGTAACCTTTTCAGCAGTGATTTGATAAGATTCAATATCTTGCTTTATTATTTCTGTTTGACATATCACAGAACCACCAGACTTTCTATGAGTGAGCTGTGCAATATAAATTATATTGTTTGTAGAGCTGTTTCCTGTAAACTTTTCTAGCTTGACATAGGTAGTGCCAAAAGTCTCTATTGCAGGTATTTCAGTTTGCATGAAATCCCTCCGATAAATGCATATCAATTGTGACACCTGTTTACTTAACTTCTCTATAAATCTAATAGCCTTTCCTAAACCTACATACAGAATCAAGGAACCCAGACAGTTGACAACAACTGTATTCTGAGGTTTCATCTTGATGTTTTTGAGTACATGATCAAGATTTTCAGAGTCTTTTTTCTCGGCGTTTTCAGTCGGCTGAATACTATAATAATCATGTATGATTACTTTTGTGGGTGTAAGTGGTTCATTGTCATACCAAGTTTTTGGATCTGAAAATGACAACAAATCAATACTATAATCAGAACTTTTTTCCTTCCATGCGTGTATCCATCCAGCTATCAATGCAGTTGCATATGCTGCTTCTATATCTATAAAATACAGATAAATCAGCACTTTTTACAAAAATGTATAGATTAATTATATATATATATATATCATATAAATTAACTTGTACAATCTCTCTATTATTATTAGATAATATATTCTATAAGGGAAAATAACCAACCTTCATCTATAACAATTACTTTTGTTCCATCTAGCAAAGGTAATGTTTTTATGTGTGACATCTTTGAATAAAATACACTACGTACTTTGTACAATAATTATGCTTATGGCAAAATTGTCAATTAATAAAGAATGTAGACGTACAATAATGCGTTTAATTTATGATACTTGTTCAGTCATTCACTCTAAAAATTCGCACGTGTACTGCGCATAAAATTGCGATATTATTGATATATTTCTTGCAATTTTATCAACAAGATATTAATAGAATTTAACGCGAATATTATTTACGCGCGCCTATTTCTTGTTATATGTATGTCATCGAGACAAAGCGACAAGTGTAAGTTAGAAAGACTATTTCTCCGAATGCATCGCATCGCACGAAAGCCTGGAACAAACATAACCATCGGCGAGTTTATTTCATGACAAATGCGAGAATGAGTCATCGTATGTACTTGCAAAATGTGACAGGAATTGTCAGTAATCTTCGATAAGGACAAGGAAAGAAGAGGTCATTAAAAAATGAGAAGTTCCAATTTATCTAATAAAAAAAAAACAAAGCACATATATTAATTATCAAGATGAGATGCGATAAGTATCGATACCGAATGACATTGAAATCGACTTCTGTCGACTTCCTATAAATGTCATTCATAATAAATTTCTGCAAAGTCGTAATAATCATTATATACCTTTATTTCTTCGAGTAAATCAGAAGTTTCTATTTTCTTGGTTTATCTTCAATGAAATCGATATTACTATCAATCAATACTTCTGGAAAGAAATGAGTAATACCTGTAAATTGTAATATTAGATATCGATTATCGAACGAATGACTTTAAATGTTTGTTCTTTTCATTAACAGTACATACAATACATTACATGTACTCTCTATACTGTTTATATTTATAACGAGATTTATCTTTAAAAGATATTTTTATGTAATAAATCATCTTTAAAAGATATTTTATTTTTCCTTGAAAATTCTTTCCTTTCTCTTATTCCTACTTCATAATAATATTCCGAAATCGCCATAATCAACAATATTTTATATCACTACATGTCGAATAATTATTAAAGATTTAAAAGAAATATTTAAAAGAAAATAAAGTATAAAGAAGGTAAGAAAACGAACAGATGCAATGTCTACACTTAGCTAGCTGTTTAATACATTTTACTATGTTTTGTTGCATTTAAGATATATCGAGAAAAGGAGAAAAAAAGATGGAAAGGTGTTGAAAAAAGCAATTAAAAAGAGCATATCAACATCGACATCCTATTTGAAGATCGCTCCAGCATGAACTAAAGCCTCAAATCACAAAAGAGTCGCATTATCTTCGATAACTATAGGCGCCAGGTGATTGGTCTGATCAGCTGAGCACCGTCCAATCGCGTGCGCGCATGTCGCTTTGGGGGCGTTGTCGGTTGAAGTTGCGTTCAAAAACATTCCTCGAATGCCTCCAAGTATCATGTCATCCTCGTTTAACATTCAGTGAACGACAAAGATAAAATGATAACCGGAGGCACTTGGACAATGTCTTCAAACGCACTCCGATAGGTGGCGTCACGTTCGCAGCCGAGAGGATCACTTTGGCCGTTCGGGTGGGCGAACGTGACCGAAGACATAACGAAAATGAGTGCCAGAGTGTGTGTCACATCGAGGCAGTTTTGCTCGCAATAGGGAGGTTTTATTTTGACAGTGCGATACGCAGGCGGCTAGCGCGATGTGTATCACCGCGGCGCGTCCCTGAGCGAAGCCGAGTAGCGTCGAGTAGCGCGCGTTCGTCGCGTAAGATCAGAAATATCACCGCTCCGGGTCTCAGCCAGTTAGAGACGAGCGGGCGCGCTGCGTGCACCTGCATGTGTCACTTGTGAGTGCAGTGCGAATCAGGGACACGTAGTACCTACCTACGCGTTGTTACGCACGACTAACGCGACTTTGTTATTGTTATTATTGTTGTTGTTGCCATTGTCGTCACCGCCGCCGTCATCACCTGTTATTATCGTCGTTGTCGTTGTCATCGTCGTTGCTGTTACCGTCGCCGCCGTCATCACCATCGTTGTCGTCGTCGCCGTCGCCGCTGCTGCTGCTGCTGTTATCGTCGTAGCCGCCGCTGCCGCTGTAGCCCCGACATCGACGACGCTGACGCTGCCGCCACCGCTGCTCTCCGTGTGCATCCGCTCATCCCACGAGCCAATACGTCGCCGGTCATTGTCGTGGCAAGTCGCCCGATACGAGACTAGAAGAGTACACCGCACTGGAGATCGTCACCGATGAGTTTGGCCTGCTGTTCACTGCTGCCTCTCTAACTAATCGCAAGCGTGTGTGATGCCCGGGAGCCGCTCCAGCACGGACCCAGAGCACAAGTCACCGCGGGAAAGTGGTGAAGACTCGGAGGATGAGAGCGAGATCCTGGAAGAGAGCCCGTGCGGGCGGTGGCTTAAGCGCCGGGAAGAGGTAACATGTTTCTACAACCTCTTCGAACATATGCTCTATCTATTTGTTTCCTCTTTTCCTCTTCGCTCATTCTCCTGCTGATAACTACTCCACTGAGGTAGACTTTTACACGGACTATTTTCCATTTTTGTATCTATGGTGTTAGATGTTGGATGGTTTATTTTCTATTTCGAGCCTGTGCTTTTTGCTGCAGCTTGCCAGAGGACTGTAGGATGTTGTAAAAAGTCTGTTTGCGTTGTTCGAGATTTCTCTCAAAAATACTCGAAATTTCTTTTGAAGTTTCTTGAAAAATCTTTATACACTTAAAACGAGATGGTTATAAGTAATATAGAGTCAAACGCTGAAAAGAGAGAAAGCAAAGATTCTCAGTGCAAACATTGTAAGCAATGCAAACAAACCTAAAGATTTTTGAAAAATTCTAGTCTTTCAGATGTCTTTTAGATATTTTTCAAACTTTTGGTTTCATTTGTTATAGCAATGAGTTATTAGGAATGATAATGCGGATTTTAATTGCCCTAACACACCTGTTGATGTTGAAACATGATTGTGATCAATAAAGTTGATTTGTAGTATTACTATATTTATATTAAATGTTAACTAATTAGCTGAGTGCTTTAAAAGAGCAATATACTCTTGTATTTTTAAGCTCATTCTACAATTGCATAATCATAAGTTGTAGTTGTAAGAATGGATCTATCACAATTGAATATTCTTCTCACATTCGATTGTGATTGGTCAATTCTTATAATTACAGCTACTTATAACTATATCTATACAAATGTAGAATGAGCTTTAAGCTCAATCTATAATTGCATAAACGTAGTTTGTAAATGATTGTATTTGTAAGAATTGACTGATTACAGTTGAATACAAGGCGAATGTTCAATTGTAATTGAAGAATTTGTACAACCACGACCATTTGCAATTACATTTAAACAATTGTAGATTAAGCTTTACAATTACATTCAATTACAACTATGCTTATGCAATTACAGAATAGGCTTTAGATTTCTATCTCTAAATTATGATAATTTACATGTTACATATTATCCAAAATATTATTTTTTTACTTACATGCTTTCGAGATCATTATTTCTACGATATACTATAATATAATGTAACTATAATTATACACTAGATTATAATTATGCTAACTATGATTTGTAAATATATTTGGATCAAAATATCAAAATATCAAAATATCAAAGTAAAAATCTCATTTATACTTTATTCATGTCTTTCTCTATGTCTTAGGCCCTTATTCTACAATAGTGTTGGTGTCATTAAAGAGTTACAAAATGGGAGTCTTAATTTATGATTGTCTTTTACATATTAATATCTAAAACAATGTTTTTGTTTATGTACTTTAAAATTATTTTATATTATCTTTACATATATTACTTAACATAATGTAATGTGTTAGATTATAATTATACAATTAAATTTGTAAATATATTTAAATGTATCAAAATATCAAAGTGGAGATTCATTATATCTTATTTATGTTTCTTTATATTTTAATTTATGAATGTCTCTTAAGCAGTGACAGTTTTTATTAATATAAATTTATTTAAAATGTCTTTATTCACGTTATAAATAAATATTAGCATAATTCATTTCATGTTGCATTTATACAGGTGGTTATATGTATCCAGCTGGTTCAAAAGGTTTTAGATTAGAGAATTGCTTTTGCATGAAATATCTCCTTTAGACTATTGTGCTTCTCATATTATTTAGTATACTTCATCTGTATCTTAACTTACATTCTTGGCACAAATGTCTAACCAATATTAGGTTCATTCATATTTTATCCTAAAAATAGATTGCTGACGTTCTGTTATTGAATGTATAAATCAATGAAATTATTTTGATCATGCTTACCTCGCACGCAGCTTCTCTGCTTAGAAATAAAACAATCTTTATTGTCTTAATGAGCTAGTAAAGATTAGTTTTATGCTTCGTTATACAGTTTATTCTAATATTTATCTGAATTATCTTTTTGTACTTTTGGATCATTTATTCCAATATAATTATTGACAATATAATTATCACATTTTGTGAAATATTTGTCTCGATTTTGCACTATCATATAATTTTAATAATAGAAACTAAAACATATTTTGTATTACAAATAATTTTATTAAGTTTCTTTACGTTATTTATTGCCAAGTGTGCTTCTATATTTTATAATGACTAAAATTTGTAATTTATTATTAATTCTTTTGAGTTATCAATGTTTATATTTTGTAAAGTAAGTATTGTGATTCTACCTTTTTATATTTTATGAAAAATAATGACTTTTATGAAATAGATTAATAAAAATATTATCTTCTATATGTATATTTGTGTGCATAGAGATAAATCTTTATATCTATTTAGTGTATTTTTATTAATTGTGGGAAATGTGCCTATTCAGGTATATGTAGGTTCCAAATCAACGTTAGCTGAGGGTTCTAGCTTCGGATCTACACGAGGAACAGAAAACGAAGTTACTGATACAATGGAAGTACGTACGTTGCAAAGCAGCAAGCAGGATAATTTCTATGTTTTATTGTACTTGCGTTGAGTTATTTATTTTTTTAAAGTATTTTGCACAGAATTATACTCCACAATTTGAATGGAGACAACAATAATTTACATGCATTATATTATTATGAATAAGTCCGACAAGTCCAATTATTATCGTTAATGTCTACAGTGTGGCAAACCCTCTTCTGAATTATCTCCCCCTCCTCAAATTCTTCACAAGGTCACATTCATGTAATAGTAAATAGGCATTGAAATCGTTTCAACACACTTTAAGTACACTTAAAATGGATGATTACGATAATACAGTCCATTATACTATATATAGATTCATAGATTACATTGAATAAATCTGCTTAGTCACAGTCTGTAGCATGTATTTATAAAGCGTTTTAACAATGTATTTATGTATTTACATCAAATACTTAAATAATATCCAAAATAATGGAATACTTGGATAACAGCTATAAACTCAAGTATAATTGAATATATTGACTACATAACACTAATTACTAACAATTTTATATTGCACTATATGTTTTTGTAATAAATGTATTTTTCATAGTTCTTTACTTTTTGTTAAAGTAATTACAGAAATATATAGATTATATATATATAAACTAATGCTTGTTTAGGTGGAACAAAGAGATGTTCCAGGAATTGA